TGCCTGTCTGTACAAGTGTACTCGTCTCGTTAGTAGACCTATAGGACAAGGGGAGCGAGTTAGGTTCTTCGCTAAAATCTGTGTTGTGTTCCATTATCACTTGGAGTGCAGTGTTCTCTTGAGTCACCGCAACATACAAAATACGGGGTACTAAAAATGTACAAATCCAAGCCTAATCTAACCTAAGCTACGCACACAAAACATTCATAATTGTGAGCCGCAACGTTTCACAGTACCATTCACATTTTGTACTTAGATGACCATAGCATACACAATGAGATGCTTCTATTTACAGTAACCATATGATAATGATGGCCCCCAGTATTTCGCAATCACAAAATCTTGAAGTGCATTAGTTGAGAGGACGGGTTGTGAAGTAGAGAGCATCAGGACAGCTGGCGATAGAATGTACTACAAAGCATCGTTTGTTGGTACTAGTTTCCTCCCTAGTACCAACACACCAAAGAGCCAGAGCTCAACCCCCGCAAACACAACTAGATAAGTACGTTTCCTGACCCTGGCAACAACTTTTGCCACGGTCTTCAAAGGCTCCCCCGTCTCTGATTTCCCTTTGCCGCCATCACCCTCGCTTATCTACACCCTTCATGCCACCAAAGATACGACCGTGGGCGACAATACAGTCGTGGCGCTAGAGAAGACCTCTTGTGCTCGCCAGCACCGACGGGATGCTACCCACGTTACCAGTTTCCATATTTGCACAATATTTTTCATAGGCCTATCAGAGCACTGCACCTGATGGTGCGGTGTTCTCCAGAGGAACATTCGGAGACAGACAGGAGGCAGTCAGGTAAGGTAGACAGATGGCGAGGGGTGATGATTCATGCAGTGTTTTAAGACTTTCATTAATTTGATTCACCGTCACTTGATCTTATAAGACGGAGGAGTGAAAGGTCACGAGTCTTGCCGTTGCCTGTTTAGCTGAGTAGGGTGTGTGTGTGTGTGTGTGTGTGTGTGTGTGCGTGCGTGTGTGTGTGTGTGTGTACTCACCTAATTGTACTCACCTAATTGTGCTTGCGGGGGTTGAGCTTTGGCTCTTTGGTCCCGCCTCTCAACTGTCAATCAACTGGTGTACAGATTCCTGAGCCTACTGGGCTCTATCATACCTACATTTGAAACTGTGTATGGAGTCAGCCTCCACCACATCACTTCCTAGTGCATTCCATCTGTTAACTACTCTGACACTGAAAATATTTTTTCTTATGTCTCAATGGCTCATTTTGTATACTCAGGTTCCACCCGTGTCCCCTTGTGCGTGTACCACCCGTGTCCCCTTGTACCACCCGTGTCCCCTTGTGCGTGTACCAGTCGTGTCCCCTTGTGAGTGTACCACCCGTATCCACTTGTGCGTGTACCACCCGTGTCCCCTTGTGCGTGTACCATCCGTGTCCCCTTGTGCGTGTACCACCCGTGTCCCCTTGTGAGTGTACCACCCGTATCCACTTGTGCGTGTACCACCCGTGTCCCCTTGTGAGTGTACCACCCGTATCCACTTGTGCGTGTACCACCCGTGTCCCCTTGTGCGTGTACCATCCGTGTCCCCTTGTGCGTGTACCACCCGTGTCCCCTTGTGCGTGTACCACCCGTGTCCTCTTGTGCGTGTCCCCTTGTGCGTGTCCCCTTGTGCGTGTACCACCCGTGTCCCCTTGTGCGTGTACCACCCGTGTCCCCTTGTGCGTGTACCATCCGTGTTCCCTTGTGCGTGTACCACCCGTGTCCCCTTGTGCGTGTACCACCCGTGTCCCCTTGTGCGTGTACCACCCGTGTCCCCTTGTGCGTGTACCACCCGTGTCCCCTTGTGCGTGTAACACCCGTGTCCCCTTGTACGTGTACCATTCGTGTCCCCTTGTGCGTGTACCATTCGTGTCCCCTTGTGCGTGTACCATTCGTGTCCCCTTGTGTGTACCATCCGTGTCCTCTTGTGCGTGTACCACCCGTGTCCCCTTGTGCGTGTAACACCCGTGTCCCCTTGTACGTGTACCATTCGTGTCCCCTTGTGCGTGTACCATTCGTGTCCCCTTGTGCGTGTACCATTCGTGTCCCCTTGTACGTGTACCATCCGTGTCCTCTTGTGCGTGTACCATTCGTGTCCCCTTGTGCGTGTACCATTCGTGTCCCCTTGTGTGTGTACCATCCGTGTCCTCTTGTGCGTGTACCATCCGTGTCCCCTTGTGCGTGTACCACCCGTGTCCCCTTGTGCGTGTACCACCCATGTCCCCTTGTGCGTGTACCACCCATGTCCCCTTGTGCGTGTACCACCCGTGTCCCCTTGTGCGTGTACCACCCATGTCCCCTTGTGCGTGTACCACCCGTGTCCCCTTGTGCGTGTACCACCCATGTCCCCTTGTGCGTGTACCACCCGTGTCCCCTTGTGCGTGTACCACCCATGTCCCCTTGTACGTGTACCATCCGTGTCCCCTTGTGCGTGTACCACCCATGTCCCCTTGTGCGTGTACCACCCGTGTCCCCTTGTGCGTGTACCACCCATGTCCCCTTGTGCGTGTACCACCCGTGTCCCCTTGTGCGTGTACCACCCATGTCCCCTTGTGCGTGTACCACCCGTGTCTCCTTGTGCGTGTCCCCTTGTGCGTGTACCACCCGTGTCCCCTTGTGCGTGTACCAGCAGTGTCCCCTTGTGCGTGTCCCCTTGTGCGTGTACCACCCGTGTCCCCTTGTGCGTGTACCAGCAGTGTCCCCTTGTGCGTGTACCATCCGTGTCCCCTTGTGCGTGTCCCCTTGTGCGTGTACCACCCGTGTCCCCTTGTGCGTGTACCACCCGTGTCCCCTTGTGCGTGTACCACCCGTGTCCCCTTGTGCGTGTACCACCCGTGTCCCCTTGTGCGTGTACCACCCGTGTCCTCTTGTGCGTGTACCACCCGTGTCCCCTTGTGCGTGTACCACCCGTGTCCCCTTGTGCGTGTACCACCCGTGTCCCCTTGTGCGTGTACCACCCGTGTCACGTGCACATGTGAGTTTGTATTTCCACATAGATGTACCAGCAGCGTCATTATTAAAATCTTCCTCCACAAGCGACTTGGCTTCCATCTGATTCCTCCTACATCTGTCTCATGTTACTCGTCTGTCTCCTCCCGTCTTCTCCTCCTACTTTATTTTCTCCTCTTCCTCCTCCTCTTGTTGCTCCTTCAGACTCTCTCTTTAAGACGAGCCTCTGACTGGAAGTAGGATTAAATCGATGCAAAAATAACTTTTCCCTTAATTAAAAAACTTGGATATCTGTTGCGTTTGAAAGGTTCTTGGTGTTTTTATAGTGTGGTACCCGTAGTCTCTGTGGTGCTATTCTGGTGTGATGTACCCTAACTATTTGTGGTAATTTTGTAATGTGTGGTACGTATATACTGCATGGTACCTCTATATTGTGTGGTACTTCCTTGTATTGTGTGGTACTTCCTTGTATTGTACGGAACCCCTCTGTGTTGTGTGGTACCCCTCTGTATTGTATAGTACCCCTCTGTATTGTTAGGTACCCTTCTATATTGTGTGGTACCTCTATATTGTGTGGTACCTCTCTATATTGTGTGGTACCCCTCTATATTGTGTGGTACCCCCTCCATATTGTGTGATACCTCTATATTGTGTGGTACCTCCTCCATATTGTGTGATACCTCTATATTGTGTGGTACCCCCTCTATATTGTGTGGTACCCCCTCCATATTGTGTGGTACCCCCCTCTATATTGTGTGGTACCCCCTCTATATTGTGTGGTACCCTCTCTATATTGTGTGGTACCCCTCTATATTGTGTGGTACGTCTATATTGTGTGGTACCTCCTCTATATTGTGTGGTACCTTTATATTGTGTGGTACCTCTATATTGTGTGGTACCCTCTCTATATTGTGTAGTACCTCTATATTGTGTGGTACCTCTATATTGTGTGGTACCCCCTCTATATTGTATAGTACCCCTTCTATATTGTGTGGTACCTTTATATTGTGTGGTACCTTTATATTGTGTGGTACCTCTATATTGTGTGGTACCTCTATATTGTGTGGTACCTTTATATTGTGTGGTACCTCTATATTGTGTGGTACCACTTTCATCAACCCATCCTCACACTAGGCTGCTTAAAGCAGCGGCCGTCCTCCCCAGACGCATTCATCAATTTTAACACACTCTGTATAAAAAATTGCTTTGTTCTTATATATAAATTAATATTATTATATCATAAAAATTCCATGTATAGTTAGGCGTAGGTAACGTTAGGTGTTTAGGTTCTGTTGGCGAGTCATTGAATTTGAAGTACGTGGGGTAAAGTAAGTAAGTAATTATCTAAAAAAGGTACCAAACCGGGAAGGTTATGTAGCACCAGTATGTGGGTAAAGCATTTATAGAATTGTAGTTCGAACAGATGACGTGATCGAAGCAATTGTTCCGGAAGTGTTCGGACGCAACCCGTCCTCCTAACAAAGACCCCCAAAGTCCATTCCATGCACCCGCCAAACCCCCTGGTTATGGATGAAAAACGGTTTACATACGACTCACAACTGATTTCGTTCGAACACTTCCGGAACAAGCAACCCGTCCTCGACTTGAGTCCATTACATCCAGCGATCGACCCCACAGACGCATTCATAAATTTGTACATGCTGTTCATTCAAAAAGGAAATTTTCTCAAATATAAGTTAATATTATAATATATTAGCATATTGGGCATATATAGGCATAGGTTAGGTTAGGTGTTTAGGTTCTGTTGGCAATTATTTGTATTTATAGTACGTGGGTGAAGCATTTACAGCGTTGTGGTTTGAACAAAATTCGTCAGTGAAGCACTTGTTCCGGAAGTGTTCAGACGTCATCAATTGTGACTCGTGTGTAACAGCCCGTCCTCCGAAGAAAAACCCAAAAGTGATTCCATGCTCCCGCCAAACCCCCTCGTGTGTGGAATGAAAAACGGTTTACATACGACTCGCAACTTATTTCGTCCGAACACTTCCGGAACAAGTATCTAGTGTCTAGTGAGATACCTCCAGTTCCAGCCATATCCACAGCTGGCGGGGGGAGCGGGGAGGTAGGGGCCGGCTTGAGAAGTCGAGGCTGAAGAAGACAACGGCGTCGGCCTCCGTCACCCTCGCTGACGACGCCGCCTCCGTCCACACGAACTCGCACCTGGAACACCACCACAAGTCCACCGCTGAATTGTAGCTTGAAAAATGTTTGGAGAAGCAGCCACTACGGGCATGTTCGGGTTGTTAACATGACTGCATGTAAATATTCTTCCGTATATTTGCATGTGTTTGTATATACAGCTCAGAATTGTACCTTTGAGGACGTAATATTCTTAGATATTGTGAGTAATATTTCACTCACTTCTGTCATAGGAGATTGAACTCAGACCTGTAATATATATATATATATATATATATATATATATATATATATATATATATATATATATATATATATATATATATATATATATATATATATATATGTGTGTGTATATCACGAAAATAAACACGTGATTAAGAATGTGACAATGTCAGACCACGGAGGAAAAATGAAACAGGAAATTTCCTTAAGTACTTTCGTATATTAAATACATCTTCAGAAGGACCTTCTGAAGATGTATTTAATATACGAAAGTACTTAAGGAAATTTCCTGTTTCATTTTTCCTCCGTGGTCTGACATTGTCATATATATATATATATATATGTGTGTGTTTAAATTAGATTGTGTGTTCAAGATATGAGGTTAAACGCCTGGGGCTACCCTTGCACAACTTGGCTAGATTACACATGAGGAGGGGGTAAGGGAGTGTTATAGGCTAGTCAGGGTCACCCCCTGGTGCTACCCTTTAAGAAATATCAGCATCCGTAATGAACCCCTGCAATCTTCACGGAGGATTGGCACATAGTTTCTCTCTTCCCCTCTCCTCCAACACCCTCCCTGCCCCCTCTTCCCCAACATCCTTCCTCGCTTCTCCCCCTTTCTTCCTCTTTTCCCAATCTTCCCCCCCCCCCTTCTTCCTTTCTCACTCTCCACCTTTCTCCACCCTTTCTTCTCCCTAACATTCCCCTCCCCCCTCTACCCTCTTTCTCTCTCTCTCTCTCTCTCTCTCTCTCTCTCTCTCTCTCTCTCTCTCTCTCTCTCTCTCTCTCTCTCTCTCTCTCTCTCTCTCTCTCTCTCTCTCTCTCTCTCTCTCTCTCTCTCTCCTCCCATTTCGTTTTGCTATTTCTCTCTCTGAAAAATATTAGGACAAATTGCTAAGACTCAACAAAAAACAAATCTCCGATTTCAGACTGCAAAACAATCGCAGGGAGGGGGTGGGGGTTGCCATAGATACCGATATTTATTAAAGGGGGGCAATGGGGCCGACCCCAACTGGCCTGTGACACTGCCGTATAACTATAGACATATATATAGTGAGACTCGTGACCGAGGGAGCGACCCCCGGCGTCAACTAACCTCCAGGTTGGACAGTTGTCGTGCCTGAGGCGCCCCTGGTGTTGAAGGACGTCCTCCCAGGCCGCCCACTGGTGCCAGAAGGGCGTCCAGAACACCACCAGACGGGGGGCGTTAGTCTCCTGTTGACGCTGGTGTTGGCAGGCTTGCCCCCGTGACCACGCCACACCTGCCGTCTCCTGTTGACGCTGGTGTTGCCAGGCTTGCCCCCGTGACCACGCCACACCTGCCACAGGAAGATATGTAACTACTCTGATACACACACACACACACCTGTAATATATTTTCTAATGATTTGTTTAATATTTTTTTTCGGAATATTCAGAACGAAATATATATATATATATATATATATATATATATATATATATATATATATATATATATATATATATATATATATATATATATGTCGTACCTAGTAGCCAGAACGCACTTCTCAGCCTACTATTCAAGGCCCGATTTGCCTAATAAGCCAAGTTTTCCTGAATTAATATATTTTCTATAATTTTTTTCTTATGAAATGATAAAGCAACCCATTTTCTATATGTATGAGGTCAATTTTTTTTTATTGGAGTTAAAATTAACGTAGATATATGACCGAACCTAACCAACCCTACCTAACCTAACCTAACCTATATTTATAGGTTAGGTTAGGTTAGGTAGCGCTAGGTTAGGTTAGGTTAGGTAGGTTAGGTAGACGAAAAAACATTAATTCATGAAAACTTGGCTTATTAGGCAAATCGGGCCTTGAATAGTAGGCTGAGAAGTGCGTTCTGGCATTAGAAAATATATATATATATATATATATATATATATATATATATATATATATATGCTTATTAGGCAAATGGGGCCCTGCATAGTAGGCTGAGAAGTGACACCTGGCTACTAGGTACGACATATATATATATATATATATATATATATATATATATATATATATATATATATATATATATATATATATATATATATATATATATATATAATGTTAAATATGACCGAAAAAGTAAGATTAATAATTCTAACACGAATTTTTTCGATATTTCTTATGTTTTCTTCACTGTCGGTGGTAATGAAAATAACAATTCTCCAAAATTCATTTTTTTTTATTGATGGTGTGACGCTTAGAAGCGTTTCGTAAGGGCTTTTTACATTCTCAAAAACTTCTTTACACTTAACACTACACTTGTGAACTACAATTTTATGATACATTTGATGCACTGTACATGAAACATTTGACATATACCCTCGCTTTTTATTGGTTTGGGTGAGGTGGGTATTGGGTGAGGTGGGTACTTGAGAATGGAAGTAAATGCAGAGGGCCTATTGGCCCATACGATGCATTGAGGTGGGTAGAATATAGTTGTGCATTAATTTACTGTTGATTTCTGGTGTTGACTTTTTGATGTGTAGTGCCTCGCTGATGTCGAGCCGCTTGCTATCGCTGTACCTATCGATGATTTCTGTGTTGTTTGTTAAGATTTCTCTGGTGATGGTCTGGTTGTGAGAAGAGATTATATGTTCCTTGACGGAGCCCTGTTGCTTATGCATTGTTAGTCGCCTGGAAAGAGATTGTTGTCTTGCCTATATACTGAGTTCTTTGGGGCTTACAGTCCCCAAGTGGACATTTAATGGCATAGACGACGTTGGTCTCCTTCAAAGCGTTCTGCTTTGTGTCTGGGGAGTTTTTCATGAGAAGATTTACCCTTTTTTTTGGTTTTATAATAAATTAACAATTGTATTTTCTGATTTTTGTCTGTAGGGATGACGTTCCTATCAACAATATGTTTTACTTTTCTTTTTTTATGATGCTGACATCATAAAAAAGAAAAGTGAAACGCCATGCAACCTCTCAAGAGTCAACCAACACAACACTTGTACCCCCTATTAGACTATTTTACAGGGACTTCTTTTCGACGGCTCATAAAACGGAGGAAAGGGTCCTGAAAGATATTGTTGATAGGAACGTCATCCCTACAGACAAAAATCAGAAAATACCATGGACAATTTACTACAAAAAACAAAAACAGAGCGCCGGCTGAAGGAAACCAACGTCGTCTATGCCTTCATATGCCCGCTTGAGGACTGTAAGCCCCAAAGAACTCAGTATATAGGCAAAACAACGTCTCTTTCTAGGAGATTAACTATGCACAAACAACAGGACTCCATCAAGGAACATATAATCTCTTCTCATAACCAGACCATCACCAGAGAAATCTTAACACGCAACACAGAAATCATCAATAAATACAGTGACAGCAGGAGACTCGACATCGGCGAAGCACTACACATCAAAAAGTCAACACCAGCAATCAACAGCGAATTAATGCACAACTATATTCTACCCACTTCAAGACCCCGAACCAACAGAGAAGCAGCAAGAGGAGTTAAGGGCCAATAGGCCTTCTGCAGTTACTTCCATTCTTATGTTCTTAGAAAACACCGACCTTACCTAACCTTGTTAGTATCTTAAGATAAGCATCTTATAGCTTCGTAATTACAATTGTTACTTAAAATTCCCGTTCCCGTATATATATATATATATATATATATATATATATATATATATATATATATATATATATATATATATATATATATATATATATATATATATATATATATATATATATATATATATATATATATATATATATATATATATATATATATATATATATATATATATATATATATATGTGTGTGTGTGTGTGTGTGTGTGTGTGTGTATGAGGAACTCTAGCAAGTCCAGGAAGACCCCCTGAGGATCCCCGAGGGAGGTGACCGCAGGAATATTATTGTCACCCAATAGTATCGGGGGTCCCAACACACGTGGCAGCAACAGACGGGTAACAGTGAAGGAGAAGCCAGACACACAAGGGCAGCAACGGACAGGTAACGGTGGAGTGTTCTGGAGCCTCCCAGACCGTTAAGCTCCGGTGATTATGTTAAGAGCATCGGCCCCCTCCTGTGATCACCGCCGCCACCTGCCACCACCACTACCACCACCTGCCACCACCACTGCCCGCCACCTGCCACCATCACCACTGGCACTTCCATCACTGGCACTTCCACCACTCACCACCGACAACCACCACCACCACCGACCACTACCACCACCGACCACCACTACCACCACCACCGACCACTACCACCGCCCACTACCACCACCACCGACCACCACCACCGACCACTACCACCGCCACCGACCACCACCACCGCCAACACAGAGGAGGTTTCAAGCTGGAGGAATGTAACAAGTGGGGTCCCACAAGGCTCTGTCCTGGGACTGATGCTCTTCCTAATTTGTCAACGACCTTCCCGAGGAAGAGAGCTCAGGAAGCTCACCTGTCAGTGTTTACAGGAGACACCAAGGTGATGAGGCATGTAAAACCAGAGGACTCCAGGAAGTTACAAGAGGACCTTGACAAACCTCAGGAGTGGTCAAACAAATGGTTGCTGGAATTCAACCCCCAAAAAGTGTAAGGTAATGAAGATGGGAAAGAGAGAGAGGAGACCAGGAAACATCAACATCATTACGGAAAGGCAACTACAGAAGTCGGTAAGAGAGATTTAAAAGTGGATGTAATTCCAACACTAACACCAGAGGCACACACACACGCAGGATAACATCGGCGGCATATGGAACGCTGGCAAATATGAGAACTATTCTCGTTTAGGAATGAGAATCAGGACTCGTTGAAGGCAATCTACACATTTGTTAGACCAATACAGGAATACGCAACACCGGCCTGGAATCCACACCTTGTGAAGCCAAATTTGAAAAAGTACAAAGGTGTTCAACAATACTGGTGCCAGAGATAAGAGGCTTGAGCCACGAAGATAGGCTAGTGGAAATAAATGTCACAACCCTAGGGGATAGAAGGAATAGAGGGGATATGATCACAACATACAAGGTAATGAGGGGAGGAGATAAGGTGGACAAGGGTAGCCTCATCAGACTGAGAGAAAGCAGTACAAGAGGACACAGGTGGAAGTGGGAAATGCAAACGAGCTACCAGGAAATATTGGTACCCTGTACGTGTGGTCCACAAGTAGAATGTACTGAAATAAGTAATGGAAGCCACCTCCATCAACAACTCTAAGGCCAGATTCGACAAAGAATTTGAACGTTAAAATTTTTAAGTTGTAATAGAACAGGTGCAACAGGGCTAGTAGGCGGGGTATGTAGAGCTAGAGCTCATTCCCCTGGAGGCACTGTTAGGTAAGGCCACCACTGCTGCCTCCCACCACCACCACTACTGCCTGCCACCACCACCACCACTGCCTGCCACCACCACCACCACTACCACCGCCTACCACCACCACTGCCTACCACCACTGTCGGAAATTTCCGACTACCTGATTACTAACACCTGTTATAATAAGCTAAATTTCTTATGTCAAAAAACTAACCCTACTAACAGCATTAATGTTCCAGTGAGGTACAGGTGTAGACGCCCCGGGAGACCTCGGGGGAGCACTGTGGCAGCCACCGTTGGCCACCTCGCTGTTATTCCTCACAAATTCTTAATTCTTCCAGTCTACAATTATGCTTTAAAAGTATTATATTAGACAGAACTTAAGTAAAGCTTAGATAGAACTAAGCAACTTTCTCCCTGAGGCGAAATATACCCAGCGGGACTGGTCGAGTCAATCGGAAATTAAATAGTCACGCCATAAAACTTTATACACATTAAATATAATTTACTTTCTTGGAAACTTCCAGTCCAGCATAATAAACAGCCAAAAAACTGTTTTCTGTGATTGGAACTGATACAATAATGCGTAAAATAACACCTTCTTGTCCTCGTTAATAAATGGGCAGAAATTAGTGGCGTGACTAGTAACGTAACTTGACACAGGGTAGGAACAGGCGCCGCTGTTCATATGGAGCGGACCTCCTGAGGAAGTCAACTTAGCAGCCACGCTTATCTTCGACATCCGTGCCCTTACAGCGTTCTTCAGCTACTGCGACCCCCAATGACGAGTGTCCCTTGTATCCGCAGTGTGGTGATCACCAGGACCCAGACGACATCCAGCCGCCGACACTCGCGGGACAGCCGCCGACACTCGCGGGACAGCCGCCGACACTCGCGGGACAGCCGCCGACTCTCGCGGGATAGCCGCCGACACTCGCGGGACAGCCGCCGACACTCGCGGGACAGCCGCCGACACTCGCGGGACAGCCGCCGTAGGCCGCCAGCTGCGTACCCGTCTGGTGCCTGGTTAACCCGGTGTCCATTTATACTCATGTTGAAACCTTCTATATACATGACGCCTTTTGAGTATTTAAAATAATATTAGTAGTTTAGTTAACTAACCATTATTATAATTTTCCTATCAATCGAGAATTATCGATAGATAGGCTACTACTGAATACCACCCCCGAGATATGTGTAAAGGGTAACATCCAGCAGAAGTTCAGAATTTTAATAGAGTCCGTTTTTGCCGAATACAATCCACGCGATATTATAAATTACTTTTAATGAATCTACCGGCTGGGAAATTCCCCACAACCACCACCATCACTGCCTGCCACCACCACCACCACCACTACCACCACTGCCTACCACCTCCACCACTGCCTGCCACCACCATCACCACTACCACCATTGCCTGCCACCATCACCACAACTGCCTACCACCACCACCAACACCTGCCACCACCACTGCCTGGCACCACCACTGCCTGCCACCACCACCACCACTACCACCACTGCCTACCACCACCACCACCACTACCACCATTGCCTGGCTTGCTCATACCAAGGCAAAAAAAAATCTTAGGTGAAAAGTAGGTGGAGGTTGCTTGGTATGATGGGTGACAACCCACCCACCTGCCTGCTGCACCCACCTGACTCCGACAGGTGGGTGAAGCTGGCTGGTGGGTGAAAGTGGGATGTAAGCAACCCCGACAGGTAGGTGGGAGCCTCGTGTCCTTATCTCCGCCTTGTTTATCTCCTTAGGCTTCCGCTGCTGCTTGCCGGATGCACGATAACGTACCGACAATCAGTCGGCCAGAGCCCGTGTAAATAGCAAGCCTGGCGCACACGTGCCTGGCGCGCACATGTGCCGCCGCGAACACGTGCCGCCACGAACACGTGCCGCCGCGAACACGTGCCGCCACGAACACGTGCCGCCGCGCTCCCGTGAATGATGAACGTGTTTCATTTATAATAACGTCACTGAATGGTGGTAGAGCCTTGTGGAGGTGTAGAGCCTTGTGGAGGTGTAGAGCCTTGTGGAGGTGTAGAGCCTTGTGGAGGTGTAGAGCCTTGTGGAGGTGTAGAGCCTTGTGGAGGTGTAGAGCCTTGTGGAGGTGTAGAGCCTTGTGGAGGTGTAGAGCCTTGTGGAGGTGTAGAGCCTTGTGGAGGTATAGAGCCTTGTGGAGGTGTAGAGCCTTGTGGAGGTGTAGAGCCTTGTGGAGGTGTAGAGCCTTGTGGAGGTGTAGAGCCTTGTGGAGGTATAGAGCCTTGTGGAGGTGTAGAGCCTTGTGGAGGTGTAGAGCCTTGTGGAGGTGTAGAGCCTTGTTGAGGTGTATTACCAGTTCTTGAAGTATACCTCAGCGGTATACGCGTAACGGAATGTTATAATGTACGCCGTTATAGGATTGTCTGTTGTACGTTATCGGGGTGTTGTGTATGGCTTTAGTACTACAGAGAATGAGGAGAATGGAAAAAGGTGTTGAACACTTCCATCAACGTGCTCAGCCTCCTGGGGAAGGGAAATGTGGTGAAGGGGCGGGGGTGACAACGTGTGAGGTGAGGTGCGAGAGAAGGCATGGAGGTGTGAGGTAGAGTGGAGGAGGAGGCAAGTAACTCTGTAACTGGAGAAAGTAACTCTGCGATACTTTCCTCTCTTCTTCTTCTTGAGAATAGATGCAGTTTGCATGAATGGTTTACCCTCCCGATGACTGCACCAGGACAGATGTAGGGAGACGCGTTGACGTCGAGGAGAAGAAAGTCAAAAGTGTTAGATGTGCCGGGCCGTAGAGAGAGGAGTGGCGACGAAAACAAAGGCGGACATTAGAGGGAGACTCGCCGCACCGTAGGGCGGGGTGTCGAGTTCACGGCGGCAGCTGATCCACGCACGGCGTAGCGGTGTGCGCAAGACGTCAACTAATATTTCTCCGGAAACTTGTATATCGGAAAGCGGAAGCAGTACGCATCCCAAATCACCCACGTGTCAGGGGGACACCCGGCCACCAGGCGGTGCCCTCGGCTGAGACATCTTATCCGGCACCCTATAAACAAACTCCTTCACCCGCGACACCCACACAGTGGACGAGCACCATGGGATCGGAAGCACCCAGGCATCCCGATAAGGGCCCAACACCGGACCACCACAGGGCACGACCCCAGCAGTCGGGAAGAGGCTTTCCCCAGACTGGGGCAATGAAGGAGGGGGATATACTTTCTTCCTCAGTATATACTATATACATATATATATATATATATATATATATATATATATATATATATATATATATATATATATATATATATATATATATATATATATATATATATATATATATATATATATATATATATATATATATATATATATATAGAGTATACTATATGTATATAGTATATACTGAGGAAGAAAGTATATCCCCCTCCTTCGTTGCCCCAGTCTGGGGAAAGCCTCTTCCATATATACTCAGTATATACATACTTTCCTCTCAGTATGGTGGAAGGCAGGAGGCAGCCCCAGAGCCGAACCCCAGAGCCGAGTCCCGACACGTAGGTTAAAGTTAGTCAGTGAATGGGACACGAATAACACTGATACAAAAGAAGGTCTGAGGGAACGAATCTTGCTACTCTTTCAGGTTAAACCCAGTAAATGGATGGGTGATCACGCAGTGGACAGAGACCTCCTGAAGGCTTCCAGCGCAGGAGCAGGATTTGTGGGAAGCGACTATTGCAGGAAGGGGGGGTGGAATAAGCTTCGAAAAGCTATAAGGCATAGCAGAATGTTGCAAAGAGGAAAGAGGGGAGATTGTTGCACTGAATTAATTAAATGTAGTTGAAATTATTTTGTAATATTGCTTTTGGACCGCTGGTGCAGACGTCCACTACTGGGAGACATAGCAACACAGAGCCCAGCCCCCCAGCCTTGCTAGAGGGTAGGTGACACGAGACTACCAGCTGGTGGAACAGGAGCGCGGGCCTTCACCAACCCTCAGGATATTACATGATGCATCCTCTTGCGTCTATTGATTTCATGTTGCACAGCGCCTTCCTGGTACTAACTGTCTCATCACTCACACATTAGGATCTCTCTCTCTCTCTCTCTCTCTCTCTCTCTCTCTCTCTCTCTCTCTCTCTCTCTCTCTCTCTCTCTCTCTCTCTCTCTCTCTCTCTCTCTCTCTCTCTCTCTCTCTCTCTCTCTCTCTCTCTCTCTCTCTCTCTCTCTCTCTCTCTCTCTCTCTCTCTCTCTCTCTCCCTCTCTCTCTCTCTCTCTCTCTCTCTCTCTCTCTCTCTCTCTCTCTCTCTCTCTCTCTCTCTCTCTCTCTCTCTCTCTCTCTCTCTCTCTCTCTCTCTCTCTCTCTCTCACGTTACTAGTGTGTCATACCACTGGTAGGTTTTTTACTTGAAGTATGGTTGTTAGTATGGTTGCTGGTGGTGGTGTGGCTGTAGATGGCGTGGTTGTTGGGGTGCTCTTGGTGACGTCTCTGGTGGTAGTGGCTGCGGCGCAGCTCCTGTGTGGTGTGGGCGGCCAGGAGGGTAGAAATGGGCGTGAAGGAGAGGTCCTGATAGAGGAGCCAGTACACCCACAGCGGGAGGAGGAGACACAGCATCACCCTGGCTCTCCTCTTCACCCTCCACTCCCTCGAGCCCATCCTCCAGGATACACTCAGCCGGGTCACGCCGGCCTGTAGGCCCACTCCTGGAACGAGAGAGTTAACTGGTCTAATGTTGGTTCTGTAATTGGTGAGAGAGAGATCAAGTTGTCACGTGACCTCGGGAGAACGCCTCCACCCAAGGCCCATTTCAGGTATACTTCAGGTATACTCCAGGTATACTACCTCAGTGAACCCCCCCCCCCTCGAAAAAAAAGTATCCACAAAAAAAGTAGCTTTCTGTTATGCAATATATCCATAAAACATATTTACACAGCTTCGAAATACAACATTATAAATCTACAAAATGTAATATTAATCTTCTCATATTTCGCTTAAAACGAAAAAACTCAATATATACGTTCACCACATGTATAATTTTTTTAAATGATTTTTTTTTTGTTATTAAAGTAACGTGTAATATGTACTGTGAAAGTGTAAGTGTTTTATGTGTACACAAATACATGATGGTTCACTACTCATGTATATATAAAGAGTGTGAGTGCTGTATGATACACACTTGTGTGTATCATGTGTGCTGTATGATTATGTGTGCTGTATGATTACGTGTGCTGCATCATGTGTGCTGTATGATACACATCTAGAAACACCTCTCATCATAACACCTTCAATTGCTTAATGTTCATCCAAAAAATGTGAATATTAAATCTGTTCTGCACGAGAAGCTTATCAGGGAAAGCTGTGATATCAGGCTCGATATCTGTCTCATATTGACTTACACCACAAGACAGCACCTGATGTCTTGTGGTGTCCACGTGAACGTGGCTTATGTGTTGCTGTTGAACAAAGCAGACACGGTGAACTGTGTACTAGAAACAGCTTGAGAATACGGAAATTATACAGATACAGAAATTTTACAGAAATATTATACATCCACACTGATGGCTGTATTATTCTTCTCAGCAGTGCATCTAAAATAGAATGCTGCTACAATTAACAATTCTGCTTTCAAAATCATCTGTACCTATAAGGATGAGCTGTAAGATTGATCTTCCCAATCACTCATCAACCTGTCGTCTCCAATACATCGTAGTTTGACGTAAAGAGCCCCAAGATGAAAATGTAAATGTAATATACTGTAAATCACAGCGGCTTGTATTTACACTCTTTTTAAAGCCTCTAGCAGACGTTCTTGAATATAAAAAAAGCTCTAGTAGTTTAGGGATGACACACATAGAGGTTGATGTAACTATGTTAACGGAACATAATTTAAAGGATATCCTTTATATTTGAAGGATATAGAGGGTGGTCTGATAAAGGAATCCTGCGCTGGCAGTATACGTTGAATTGGCCGGTGTTGATCCCGACGACAGGTGGTGGTGATGAGTGTTGCAACAACAGCTGTCCGGCCACTGTTGCTGCTGCTGCTGCTGCTGCTGTTGCTGCTGCTGCTGCTGCTGGTGAGCTGTGTTGTTAAGTATTTATGTACACATAATTGTGACCAGCAAGCATACCGGGTCTGACTGGTTCTGACTCACACACACACACACACACACACACACACACACACACACACACACACACACACACACACAGACACACACACACACACACACACACACATATACTCTCTCTCTCTCTCTCTCTCTCCCTCCCTCTCTCTCTCTCTCTCTCTCTCACGTTAACAGGCTCATCTCTCAGCCTCCCCGGGGGGGGGGGGGGGGGAGACACAGCTCACTCGCTAGACTTAGTACCGACATGAGTGTGCCTGAGCAGTTGACCTCTGGCCTCTGACCTCTGAGAGGAGGATTACAGCTCTCTCGCAGCACTTTGACCCGACTAGTTTTCCCTTGTACTTCTTTACATTTTGTTCGTCTCAACAACTGACGGCCTAACCCAGGGTGTAACCCCACGACAGTTGGCTAACTAACGGGTACCCGTTTCCTACAAGGTGAACAGAGCCATCAGGTGAAAGGAAATGTACCGAACCCGGTTACCTCGACGGTGAGCCAAGAACGTAGACTACTGTGCCACAGGACCCATTATAACCTGGTTTGTGTAGTTGGGCGATGTGGTCCCAATCTTCCCAAGATGACATTGTGCCAGCCAGTCACAGATGACGCCTTGACACGTGCCATGACACGAGAGCACGTGCCTTGACACGTGCCATGACACGAGAGCACGTGCCTTGACACGTGGCATGACACGAGAGCACGTGCCTTGACACGTGGCATGACACGAGAGCACGTGCCTTGACACGTGGCATGACACGAGAGCACGTGCCTTGACACGTGGCATGACACGAGAGCACGTGCCTTGACACGTGGCATGACACGAGAGCACGTGCCTTGACACGTGGCATGACACGAGAGCACGTGCCTTGACACGTGGCACGACACGAGAGCACGTGCCTTGAGAGGTCAAGGTCACCCAGGGAGGCGAGAATAAAGGGACTATAAGACCTGAGACAGTTTCCACCACTCGCCGTCATCGCTACTCTTTAAGTAAACTCAACCCGACCTAAGTGGGTCCGAGGGTAGAGTTAGCCTCAGCTACTCCGGCCTTTTGAGATGAGGAAGGAACTGAATATTTCATGTGTAAGTGATCGAATCACTGAAATTAGTGCTTTAAATGGTATCAAGATGCTTAGGCTAACCCACCCTAACCCCTGCACTGAAGCCCTCCAAGCCTTCTCCCTTGAAGGTCAGCATCCCTCTAAATGGATTACCGAAACTGCCATTGTGATCAAAATGTATAATTTTCATCACCTCTGCCAAGAGAGACAACAACGACACTTTCCTGCCCCATGGGAGATCACTCCTTTCCAAATTACTGCCCCTCCTTTCCCACCCAAAAAGCTGGTTAAAGAAGCTTGCCTTGCTTCGACAAGAAGCAAAGTACAATGCCTTAAGCCAAATTGATGCTTTAGTCAGAGAGCGCTCCCTTTCCCAGATTATTTACACTGATGGATCCTTGCATCAGTCTTATGGTGCAGCTGGAAGTGCAGTTGTTGTGACAGGGAGAGATGGTTCCTTCTCCCATGAGTGTGGAGCGCGTCTAAGTAACTGGGCCTCCACTCTTCAAACAGAATTGGTTGCCATAATCCTTGCACTCGAACGCGTATATAAATCCAAAATTGACACGCTAATTGTAAGTGACTCCTTATCATCCTTGACTGCCCTCAGCTTCCCAAGGTAAAACTGTGACGTGCTTATCTCTGAAGCTAGACACAGATATATTGAAATAATCAATGATGGAGTCAGAGTCTGTCTCCTGTGGATTGATTCCCATACTGGTCTCCGAATGCATGATAGAACTGATGAGTTGGCCAAGACTTTGCTCGTAAAGAGGGAATTGATTACCAACTTGGACTGCCTTTGAGCAGCCTGAGGGCAGCAATATTCCGGGAACATCAACTAAACTTCGGAGACTTGAGGCAAAGTGAAATTCACACCAGTTACTCCATCTATCATCATTCTATTATGCAGGAAAAACCGCACGTCTATGGGTCATCCAATAATGTTAGCAGACTTCTAGATGTTACCACTGCTAGGCTTAGGCTCGGCTACAAGTACCTCTGGGAGTTTATAACATCTGCTGATGTAGATCTGACTAAATGTAAACTCTGTTAGCGGAACTATTCGCATACTTTGCGTCATTATATAATGGAATGTGAAAAAATCGTGGAATTCAGAGATAACACCATCAATGGTGTCCAAGAAATGTGTAAGTACTTCATTCATAATGATGTGCTGCCCGAAATCTTAGCGAAGTATTCAAAATTTTCTTTCTGTAGGTAATGCATGCATGACTGTAAAACTGTCGCCCAGTTGGGTGGGTGTGGAACAAGAAGAGTAACTGTGTGACTCATCATAGATGCAAAGTGCCTTGTATAGTGACTGTTGTGAACCTCTTGTTGAATCACTTGTGATTCAAAAGATTATTGATGTGAGTATTTGTGTAGGTGATTGAATATGTATATGTATTTGTATATATATTTAGTATGTACATATATGTACATGTATGTATGATTATGTGTACATGTATATATAACATTAATAATTGTGTAACTACCGTCAAAAGATTGTTATTTGCTTAGCTAAACGAATTAGAACTAGAAGGATTCTTCGAACTAGAACTGGTTCGAACTAGAGGGTTCAGTTCCTGAACCGATTATGTGCCTCTGTAACCCTTTACACCACCGCCCACGGGATGGGTATGGGGTGCATAATAAAGACAGAAATTGAATTGAATTTTGAGATGTATGTTATTGTCTCAAGAAACTTACTTGAAGCTAAGAGTTAACATTGAGGATTTTATATATAGTAATCCACAAGGTGTGTGTGTGAAGGTGGTGTGAGGAGTGTGTTCTGGCTCAGGGTATGGGTTCTCCTGGGGCCACACACCTGTTGCTGTCTCCCTCACACCTGTTGCTGTCTCCCTCACACCTGTTGTTGTCTCCCTCACACCTGTTGTTGTCTCCCTCACACCTGTTGCTGTCTCCCTCACACCTGTTGTTGTCTCCCTCACACCTGTTGCTGTCTCCCTCACACCTGTTGCTGTCTCCCTCACACCTGTTGCTGTCTCCCTCACACCTGTTGTTGTCTCCCTCACACCTGTTGCTGTCTCCCTCACACCTGTTGCTGTCTCCCTCACACCTGTTGTTGTCTCCCTCACACCTGTTACTGTCTCCCTCACACCTGTTGCTGTCTCCCTCACACCTGTTGTTGTCTCCCTCACACCTGTTGTTGTCTCCCTCACACCTGTTGCTGTCTCCCTCACACCTGTTGCTGTCTCCCTCACACCTGTTGCTGTCTCCCTCACACCTTCTAACATCAAGAAACTGTCTTAATAAAGTGCCCTTATCCTAACCTACCAGAGGACCCAAAACAGAAAACGGGACAGTACGTCAATCCCGCGAGCCATGTTCTAGTGCGACGATTTTTGGTCTTAGGAAGAGAATACGTCAAAATGCGACGTGCTATCATGAGGACGGGTTGGGCCGCAGGGTATGAACCCAGGCAACCCGCCTAACCAATCTAATCAGATGAATAGAAAACGTGAGTATTTGGGTCTGTATTGCTCT